GGGGGGGGGAGTGTGCCTGTCCAGCCCCCTGGGGGGGGGAGTGTGCCTGTCCAGCCCCCTGGGGGGGGGAGTGTGCCTGTCCAGCCCCCTGGGGGAGTGTGCCTGTCCATCCCCATGGGGGGAGTGTGCCTGTCCATCCCCCCCCGGGGGAAGTGTGCCTGTCCATCCCTGGGGGGAGTGTGCCTGTCCATCCCCATGGGGGGGAGTGTGCCTGTCCAGCCCCCTGGGGGAGTGTGCCTGTCCATCCCCCAGGGGAGTGTGCCCGTAATCCCTTCATTTGGAAGGGTGAAGGCAGGGTTAGGGGTGGGTGTGCTCTGGGGATACAGCTCAGTGGTAGACAGACCACTTGCCTACCTTTGTGAAGCCCTGGACCACAACCAACCAGTTTTTGTTAATATCTATAAAATAGAAATGACTCAAGAAACTGTAGAACTGGATGCCTAGGGTGGAGTATCAGAAAAGGGGAAGACAAGTTTGGTTGGCTTTTGGTTTTGTTTTTGTTTTTTGAGACAGGGTTTCTCTGTGTAGCCCTGGCCATCCTGGAACTAGCTTTGTAGACCAATCTGACCTCAAACTCAGAGATTGCCTGCCTTTGCCTGCCAAGTGCTGGGACTAAAAGTGTGTGGCACCACTACCCGACAGGGGAGGCCAACATTAAAGTTGATTTCTCATTTAATTCTGAATCACGCAAATGAACATTTAATTGTAATTTAATCAAAAACGAAATTAATTGAGAAAGTAAACACTGGGAACATACATATTAACCGCATGTGTGTTTATAGTAATTAGCAGTAGTCCCAAGCAGCACCAGCCTTGGCACCCGCTCCCCTCAGGTCTCCCGCTGTCTGTCCCTGACCTCATGGCTGGCCCCTGGGGAGTAGATAACCCTTGTCATGCTCCCACAGGCTCATCTACTGGTTGACCTTTGCTGTGGGCCGCTCCTTCCGAGGCTTTGGCTACGGACTGACTTTCTTGCCGTTGTTGGCCATGCTGATGTGGAACCTCTACTACATGTTCGTGGTGGAGCCGGAGCGCATGCTCACTGCCTCCGAGAGCCGCTTGGACTACCCGGACCACGTTCGATCCCTCTCTGACTACAGGCCGCGCTCATGGGGCTGAGCTGCTCCAGGGCTGTGCAGGGTCTTTCAGGCCTTCCCTGAACCAGTTGCAGGCCTGGCCTTTGCCCAGGTCCTGGACCTTCGATGTGAGGAACCTTGCTACTGCCCCATAGGGGCCCCATCCAACGGGGCCCAGACACCCCAGTTCTCTCTTAGCTGTTGCTTTACCCCTGGAGCGCGAGAGCCCGAGGGAGAGACTGGAGAAGCACGCTTCCTTCTTGGGCAGCCTCCCACCATGCCACACTAAGGCTAGGGCTGGATGGCTACCTCGCTCCCCAGCTTCCTGTGGGCCAGCGGTGCAGAGCCATAGCCCAACCTGAACTGTCTTTGCCAGCTGTCTGGAAGAAAGGTCAAGGAGATGGACAAACTGCCTAAGCCCAAGAGTGGAGGTTGGTATCACATCAGATGAGGGCTTTGATATCTGACATTGATTGGGTGAAAACCTTCCTAGGGGGCCTGGGTTCAAGGCTCTCTCTACCACTTGACTGGCTTCAAGGCTTTTTTGCCTCAGTCAAGGCTATTATAGCTGTTGCCTTCCCTCTCCCAACCTGCATGGGTCCCTGTAACCTTCCACTTTTCAAACTTCCAAGAAGTCCCATTATAAAAAAATAGGTGGGGTGCAGAGATGAAACCTCTGAAAGAAGTGTGTATGTATTCACATGTACTGGCTGGGCTGGCAGAGAGACTGCCTGCCCACTTATATGTATGAGTATGTAATAAATCACTGCCAGCCTCCCATGGCTCTTTCTTCCTGCCAATCCCCAACACCCTCAAGACACAAGCCACCTCCTAAACATCCAGTTCAAGGGGTGGAGGATGGTTAACAAGAGCCTTGGGGAGAAACCACTAGGATTGGTGAGAAAATGTGCCTTCAATAGAAATTGCCTTCCAAGCCTCTCTCTGTCTTCCCATTTGCTGAAACCAGCCAGGCAGGCATGGTGGTGCAGGCCTTTAATCCCAGGACTCAGGGGGTAGAGGCAGGGGGATCTATGAGTTTGAAGCCAGCCTGGTCTACAGAGTGAGTGCCAGGGCTCCACAGAGAAACGCTGTCTCAGAGAGAGAGAGGGAGGGAGGGAGGAAGGGAAGGAGGGGTACCCAGTCTGGGCTGGAGGGATGGATAGCTCAGTGGTAAGGGCATTTGTTGCTCTGGCAGAGCACCCTGGTTCAGTTCCCATTACCCATATGGTGGTTCACAACCATTTGTTAACTCCAGTTCCAGGAGATCTAGTGCCCTCTTCTGACCTCCACAGGCAACACACACACACACATACACACACCTATACAAGCAGACAAAACATTCACACATATAATAAAACACATAAATCTCATTTAAAAATAAGAGAGAAATTGGAATCTTTTATGGAAAAAATATCTATTTCATGCCCCTTAGGGCAGCCAACCAGTCATTCTCATTGCAGACCTTCAAGTTTTATCCACAGGGAGTGGTAAGTGAAGAGGAGGAAACTCCAGTAGGGCCCTTCCTCTTACCAGTAATTCCAGCCTCTCCCTAGGGTAGGAAGGGCATCACCCAGGGAGCCCCCAGCAGTTGAGGCTGGCTTCTGAGGTTCTGCAGAAAAGCAGATCACAACACTGACCCTCTACCTTCCCACAGTTTGAGGCACGGCAAGGCGCATGTGGTCCTGCCTCTCCCTCTGGAGAAAGGGTTTCAGTTTATGGACTGGTACTCAGAATACTGCTTGTGGCGCAGCAGCAGAAACAGGCCTCCCCCCAGCAACACGAGTCCTGGGGTTCCCAGGGCCACTGCCATGATTCCAAGGACTAGTGGAGATAAGGCATCCACTGGAGGGGTGCCCACTCCCAGAAGCATTGACCTAGAGCACGAAGATTAAAAAACAAAACAAAAAGGTAAGCAAGCTTAGGAAGGGAAGGCTGAGGGGCTCAGCCCTCCTCCACTGGGACCCCCCCCCCCAAATCCTTGGTTCTTACCAGGAGAGGTAGTGCTGGTCCCAGTAGCCAGGGCCTGTGGGATCCCCAAATGTCAGATTGAAGGCACAAAAGTTGTTCGGGGACCCAAAGAATGCTCGGACAATAGGTGACTGAGGGAGGGAATATGCCAAGGTGGGGTGAAGGGCGGAAGCCTGGCAGGAGAGGGCTGAGTCTCGGCCCCGCTGCTTCTGAGAGAAAGCCACTGGTCGCCACTGCATGAAGCCAGATGGTGAGGAGCCCCACAGCAACTGGTCCAACTGGAGAGGCAAAGGAGGCAGGTGAGATGGGCCAGCCTGGGCCAACCTGGGCTAACCTGTGTTCCCCCTCTCCCAGACTGCACGCCACTAGCAGTACAAGCACTGAGGCCAGTAAGAGTCCCCAGTGCTGAGCATGGTTCTGGAATCGAGCAGGGCCCAGTCTCTCCAAACACAGCCAGAGCCTGGCCCTCTGCCCTTGCTCCCTCTGGGCCCCAGGTTAAGGAGAATCCCTTCTGAAGATCATGAAGCGCTGTTTCTGTCCGCTTCCTAGGAGGGCACGAGATGTCAGGCGATACATTAGTACAGCCCAACACTAAAAGGAGCCAGAGAAAGTGTTAAATAATAAATGGGTGTCCGTGTGTGCTGGCGCATGCATCGAATCCTGGCTCTCAGGAGGTAGAAGCAGGTGAACCTCTGTGAGTTCAAGAGTTCAAGGCCAGTCAGGACTACAGAGGGAGACCCTATCTTAAAAAACACCAACAAAACAACAACAACAAACAAACAAAGCCCTTTAAAAATGGCTGGTGGTGGCAGCTGGTGCTATGACTCGGTGACTGCGAGCTTGCTGCTCTTAGAGAAAACCCAGACTCAGTTCCCAGCACCATGTCAGGAGGCTCACAACCATTTGCAATTCCAGCTCCAGGGGATCTGATGCCCTCTTCTTGCCTCCTCCAGGAGCTTAGACACACACTCAGACACACATACAAAATAACAAATCCTTTTTAACACTAATACATGGTTGGTTGAGTTTCTGGGGTGTTAACAGGACCCCACTTCTCTCCCCACCCATCTGCCTCCCACTGGAAACCTGACCTGGAAGACAGCGGGGGCGTACTCGTCATCGATGGAGTGCAGCTCTTTGGCTGTGGGGCAGGCAGGGCCAGTACCCAAGGTGGCTACCTCTAGGCCGAATCGGGAGTGGTTTCCACGAGGAGAAACTCCAGCCAGGGTAACTTCTAGCTGGCAGGCATCTGCTGTGTGCAGGAGACGAGGGGGCTGGGCAGGCCGGCCAGATCCAGAAAAGGCCTGGACCTAGGAAGGAGAAAGCCACGTGGGGAGATCGGAGCTTGAAGGATATTCCCATCCTCATAAATCAGCTTTTTTTGTTTTGTTTTGTTTTTTGTTTTTCAGAGACAGGGTTTCTCTGTGTAGTTTTGGAGCCTGTCCTGGATCTCGCTCTGTAGCCCAGGCTCGCCTCGGACTCACAGAGATCCTCCTGGCTCTGCCTCCCGAGAGTGCTGGGATTATAGAAGTGCGCCACCACCGCCCAGCATAAGTCAGCCTTTTGAGTTCCTTCCCCATAGCCTCACCTTCAAGGCCAGGCTGCCATTGGCAAATGCTCCAGCAGGGTCATCTGCAGGGTGGCCTTGAAAAATGGCGCTCAGAGTGGCACGATCCAGGGAGTCGCTGATATTGTTCCAGGAGAACTCAGCCAAGGAGTAGGGAGGATATGGTCTTCCTGAGGGCTGGGCTGCCCCCTCGGGCACCCCGGTGCTGTCAGACTCAAGCAGCTGGGGACAGGTGAAGTGGGATGGGGCTTGCCTCCCTCTGGCTTTCTCTTGCATATTGCTCCCGCTCAACCCACCCCAAACTGCACCCAGTTCACCCCCCTGTCTTAAACCCTCCCCTCTCCCTTGGGGTAGATGAACTCCGTCCCTGGGCTCCTCTCTCCAAGCTCTTCCAGCCCCCTCACCCTGGTGAAGACAAGAGCAGACGAAAACTGGATGCTGTTCTTGGGGAGCACCATCAGACCCCCCTCAGGATCAGGAGACAGCAGGAGACTCCAGTTGACGCTCAGGACACTCTGAGTGGTGTTGGTGGCCACCAGCACCACAGCTGGAGGCCCTAGGGTGCTCCATACATAGTGCAGGGTAGAGTTGGTGCCCACTGCCCGGATATGAAGCAGGTTCTGGGGAGTTGGGCAGCCAGAAATAACCTCCATGGACACCTGGAACGTGGGGTGGTGGGGTGGAGAGAACAAGATCAGGGATGATCACAGGCAAAGCAAGGGAAATGCAAGGGCCTTTGAGGACTAGACAAGAGGATGTGTGGAAATTGAGGGGCTCTTGGAATCAGGGGCAGATGTAGGGTTGAGAAGAAACAGGGTAGATTCAGGATTACCCTGACCCTGGTGAGGAGATCAAAGCTCAGGGCCGAGAAAGCTTTTTAAATCTCCAAACTTGCCTGTTCCTGAGCTACACTAGCTGAGCCGTGGTTGACATCACCAGAAGGCAGGAAGCTCTCTTCACAATCCTTCCCATCTCTCCTGGCTCCATGCTCACTCTCTGGGTTGATACCTCTCTCGCCGCCACCCTCCACCCCTCGGTTGCCCCAGATTCCAGTCATCGTGGACAGGTTGTATTTCTGGAATCATCTATTACTTTAGTTCCAGAACCCTTACCTGGCGAGTCTCTTCTCCCAGCATGCCAAGTGGAGCTGCACACACAAGACTCAAAAGGAGCCATGGGGTGGGGCCACAGGGGACCCAGCCCCAGTAAGGTCCCCAACAGCGACACATACAGCTGCACCAACTTTAACGAAGCGGAAGAGGCTCAGTCACATGACTCCCTTCCTCCTGATCCCTTTAGGGGGCGGGCCACCAAACCAGTTCTTAAAGAGACCACGTCCTTTTTTTTTTTTTTTTTTTTTT